GGCCCCGATCAGCGTGTGGCCCAACAGCTGGACAGCCGAACTACTGTCTCGCTCCAGGCTCGAAACCCACAATAAGTTCACAGCCAGTCTGCATGCTCCACCCTTGCCACTCGTGGTCTCCAGTTTGTAGCTTTTGAGGTTTGTGCTCTTAGGGCGCAACATCCGACATCTTAAACCCTGAGCCTTGGGGCTCGCAGCATGTGGGGCCCAAATCCTCAGCACTACAAATGTGGTGCATGCTTTGTGGAGGGGAGGGGGGGGGGGGGCCGATCATGGGCACGCGCGCGAGATTTCACCTGTGTCAGGCTTTGGAAGCCGTTCAAGGAGCTATTCGACTGGCTTGGCAACCTTTACTTGGTTGATTTAACAAGAGCTAGAGGTGAAGCCAGACCAAGAGCGAGTACAAGAACCCACTTGGAGTTTTGGTGAATGGGAAAATGGAGGGTATATTGTGGCAGAATCAATGCTCAGAAAGCTTCCTATTCCTATTCTGACAAGAAGACCGTCGACTCCGGCATCCGATTTCCGCAGGACGGGTACATCAAGAGAGGACGCTCTCTTGGCGTACCTGATGGTGATTGTTTTGGACCTCGCGTAAAAGAGCTGCGCATGGGGTCACAATTGTTGGCTTGAAATTGTTAGAATGGAGCGAGGTCAAGACTAGAAATTCTTGTGCATACAGTAACAATTCCTGTAGCATTCCTGTGCATCAGTGCCAGATGCTCTCAAGTGTGGAGTATACAGATGTGCATTACTGCAGTGTTTTGAGGCAGCGTTGCATAGTACTTGGTGGTTCAAAGCAGGGCTTCCAAGATTGATAGATGCAGAAGGCTCAGAGGTACTCTGCTGCTGAGTGCGACGCCGTTGGCAGCTCTCGCGGAGTGAAAGGCACGTCCCTCCTTGCGAATCAAAAGCTAAAGCATTCATGTCAAACTGCACACCTGAAGCCTGCAGAGAACCGGAATGCAAACATGAGCTTCGCAAAAACCATGTGACCCAGCCCCGCATTGGCACGACTCGAATCGGCACAACGCGGCCCGGAATGTAAACTTCCAACCTGTAGGAGAGCGACCATGCGATGCACATGCAGGAATCAAAACATGATACTGCCGTGACGCTCGGTCGCAGAGCCTCTGGAACTCCCATATTGCACACAAGTAACAGGCCCTCAAGAATTGTCAACATTCCCCACCGGGAAACGAAGTATTCGGGGCATGTTCCCCTTGGGCCCCATGCAGCTGTTCAAGGGTTGCTTGAAGCTCGTACAGCCCCTAAACCCAAGATATGGAGCTGTCGCCGCCGCGATGCCTCATACCGAAAGTAACTTTGCAGCCTGGCCTGATTAACCCTTATCTGTGCAATTTTGATCAACAGGCACACACACACACACACACACACACACACCGTCACACACCCATACACGCAGACCTAAACCCTCTCCTGGGCGTGAACTGCTCTTGGCTCTGCATGCTGTGCCTGGCTTCTGACTGCCTTACGTCTACTGGGTTTCGGGCTTTCAGGGAGCGTGAGGCGTCCCTTGCGAGTCTCTGGATGCTCGTGGCCTTGCTTCGATCAACTTGGGGGAAAGAGAAGGATGGCCCACTCTGAGAAAAGTGCCCATGTGCCTCTTGAATTCTGGATCTTGCAACTCCACCATCTCACCCCCCACGGCCCCAAACCATTCTCTCCTCCTCCACCCTCTACCTGACATCAGCCTGAATCCTACAGAATCTGCCCGGTCTTTTCCAACCGGCTTTGCTTCTACCTTCCTTAGCCCTTTTGCAACCAGGTCTGCTCTTTTCCAAACCCTCGAAGAGTCAGGTCCCGGCCTGGGCAAGCGAGGCACAAGCGACGGCCGCTGCATCACCGACAGGGACCTCCCGATAAGGCGATGCTCGAAGCAAGGAGAGCAGATGTTCAGAACCGCACTTAGGGCTCTCAGGGCTTCCTGTCTTCCGTAAGATGTCATGTCACAAGGCAGAGAAGTCTGTGGAGAAATCCCTGTGCATCCCTGTGCTGTGTGTCTTGGCAATCCACAAAGACGCGTTCTCTGAACTGTAATTTGAAAAAACCCAGCCGGCCATGCATGCAGCAAAGGATACTGCCTCGAAGTCCCGGATGACCAAGATCGCTAAGTGCCGGCGATCAACCCGACAGGCAAACCCACGTAAGTAACGACAGCTTCCAGCAGATTGATATAAAGCCCAACAATCACAGAACATCATCTTATCCTGGCAGTGGCCTCATCTCCCCCACTGTGGGGATGCCCTCCTCTCATAGCACACGCTGGCAGGGTGCAGGATTGTTGCATGTCCGAGTACTCTGTGCTACGTTACAAGCGCGCAAGCAATGCATTGACGCTGATGTGTTCCCTCTCCACTCTCAGGCTGGTGCTTGCTTGCTGTCGCTGCCTGAACCCTGGACTGTCGGCCTCATTCGCTTTCCTTTTGAAGCCCCCTTGCCCTCAGGGGTGCGGTCCTGCACTGAGATGATGTTCTCACCAACCTCATACAGCTTCTCAGTCAAGTGGCTGCAGATCGAAATTTCCAGCGAATCCAATCCCACATGAAGGAAAGAACCCCAACACACAGGACAGCTCATTCGTGCTGCCCTACAACACGCAGGACAGCACATGGGTGCTGCTCTGCCATCCCAAACATCCTTAACTGAAACAAGCTGAAACGTTCAAAAAGTCAAGGCTGGGTGCCCAAAGCGCGTTGTCTGAAAACCGCTCGAAAGCTCAAACTTGGGCATCGGCTACTGCACCGCCGCTTCTTTCGGGCAGCATGCTGATGCACTTGGGGGGGAGCTCCGAACCCTGAAATCTAGAGATCTGGCATGACTCAGCTGGGGGGCGTGAGACTCCAAGTCCAGGAGCTCTCCTGAGGCGGAAGCAAGGTGCTTCGGGGTATGGAATTGGGGGCGGGCTTCGACGGGGTTCTTAGGATTCTTCAGATTCTGCTGAGGCACTCGCATTGAAGCAACGGGAACGTGCACGAGACACCACTGAGGCACGTAGCAGCATCCAGCGGCATCTTATAAGTCTGCTGACATTGAAGGATGGGCTGGTCACGCTAGGGTACATAAGGGAGATGCTTGTGCGTCTGCATTGCCGAGGCTGGAGGCTGGAGGCTGGACTGTGAGACCCGAAGATCACCCCAAATGCCCCACAGTCCAAACTTCCTTCCAAAAACCCTGAAGAACATCTGAAGAACAGCTAACCCCAAAGCTGAACCCCGCAGCTAAATTACCCCTCAATCCCTAAACTGGCCTGCCGGGCTTGCCACACTAGAAGAATCCGCATGGGTTTCCAGGGCCTCCATGCAAGCGGAGTTCTCGCTTTGCGCGTGGCGCAGCTCCGCTCTTGCCTAGGGCCTATAGGGTGTGTGAGGTGATGTCTTCGCTTCTGCGCTTTCGCGATTAGTGCTGCTGTAAAGTTTCCGACGGTCGAACAGCTTTAGGATCTGCACCCTCCACCTGAATTGCCCCCCTCCTTGTCGCACGACAGTCGAATTAAGGTTGGGGAGGCGCTGTGTTCACACCATGATGTCAACGGTCTTAGACCCCAGCTCGTTCCTACGCCTGACCCTGAAGACCCGGGCTTTGCAGCCGCAGAGTGGTCCCGCCTGGTCGCCCTGACCCTGCCCGTCTGGTTTGGAGGCCTCCAGGTCCTCCTCGGCAGCAGTTGGACATTTGGAGGCTTGGCGAGAATGGCTTCAACAAAGGTCTCTCCACGGCAGAATGCAGCATCTCACCGACGAGTCACTCCTGGGCAACGCGAACCGGGAATGTTGCACCATACTGGGGGCCCGGCAACTGGCACATCGCCCCCGGGTTGCGGTCTGCTGTTCAGCCTTTCGAACCGCAAGGCCACAAGGCCCTCAAGATTCGCTTCATTTTAGGCGGCCACTCCTGCTTCGAACATGAACAACCGTTGGTTTCATCATAAATCTGGCAAGTCCTGCCCCTCAGCCAGGAATGGAAGTCAGGGAAGGCGCTGTCTTTTCTTTGGAAAGGGTATACAAGCCATGGAGCTTCTCGTGCCTTTCACTTTTTGCTTGTGGTTTCGCTCACCGAAGACACACTTCAGAATTGGCCAGAGGGAGGCGGGCAGGACGGGGTACTCGGGGATCTGGGGGGATCCGGTTTGTGACTGGAGCAGCGACGTCCAGGATAGCGCAACAGACCCAAGGGCACTCGAAACCTCAGTCACCCCAACCCACAACTCGTGGTCCAGGTCCCATCTGTCCCACGCCTCTCTGACCGGAGTTGGGCGATGACGCCTTCCAGCATGATCTTGTCTGCTGGGTGTAGGATGTCGCGACCTCACAGGCGCAGCGGGCAGCAGGGTGGGATTCCACTCCTGTACTCTGAGGCGAATCGAGGCCGTTCCCTAGGACAGTCCTCACAGTGGCCATGGCAAACCTAGACTACAAGCACGGTCATTGCATGTCAAGCTATCCATTTCCAGCCCGTTGCCGATTGCATCTATAGGTTCCCAGGTTCCCAGCCAACGCCTATCTCTGGACTTTGTCGTAAAACATCCGGAACCCGGAACCCTCAGACGCCCTTCGTGCAGCCCAGGTGGCTGGGCGACCTACGAAGGTGCTTGGGCGCGAGCTGGCCGCCCAAGGCCGGACTGGGTGCACAAGATGGGTTGCGTCGGCTTCTTTGCTCCGGCTTTGCTTAGAGCTTCAGGAACTCGCGCAACTTGCAGGAAAAACAGGCCGACATCCTTCCAACCCCAATCTCCACCGCGAGCCCCCCCTGGATCCATGCCTTCGGTTCGGCTCTGCAAGAACCGCCTGCAACAAGAATCGTGCTGCTGAAGGAAGTAAGCAGTGGGGCCCACGAAGCTTCTGGCCTCACCCCTGCTTCCAACGCTGAAACGTACTTGGCTCTGGTGTTGATCGCTGCTTTTGCTCATTGCGGCTCGCATGGCAGCATGCACCCCAGGACGCAGACAGCAAGCTAGTTGGAAATGCTATGCAATCGAGACCTCAACCCTCAAACTGGACAACCCGGGATGGATGGGGGCGAACTTCTTTGGCCTCGGTCCGGAGGACAGCGTTGCTGTCGAGCCCGGGGAGTGCACTCCTGGAGAGCCCAAGAAAGTTAAAAAGCCTGTTTGAGCGTCTGCACAACACAAGCCAGTTTCGACCTACAACTCAAAAAACTCGAAGCAGCCTGTTGCAAAAGAGCTCCCCGAAATTCCGGGGCCTCCCCGGCAGCTGCGGCAGCTGTGGCAGCCGCTCCACTGGCCGACGGCGGTCCGCTTCCGGAAGCTCCTGGCGGGCCCACTTCGGGTCCCCTGAATAATATTCATAGCATTAAGAATGTTCATAACATATTACTTTAGTAATAATAGTAATATTATGTAATATTAATATGGGCCTTGTGGGCTGCTTGTAGGTTCAGAGCGAGGGTCTCAGGCTGAGGGCTTAGTGCGAGGTCCATGCAGGGCAAGACCCTTTCGGTGTCACGTCATAGCCTCGAGGTCACAAGGGATACAAATGTGCAGAGGTGCTGCTAGGAGTAGAAGCACGCAAGCTCGTCCAAGTTATAAGGAACACATGAATGAACGAAATCTACAATGCAAAAACACTCTAGTACCAAATATGAGCAATCATAAGAGTCATTACTTTCACATCCCGTTCACTTCCCGAAACCCTGTCCTGTGCATCGCATGGCACGGACAGCAACTCGCCCATGGCGGAGCGCGAAGATTTCCACTCTCAACCTGCAACCTGAGGCCCTAAGGCCTTCCCAGGCCCCTCTGTTTCTTAGCCGTTTGTGTTGCTGTTGCGTGTGCTTCTGGTAGGACGGCTTTGGACAAGAGCTGAACACTCACCTTGAATCCAGCAGGGTTTGGTCTGCGAAGGGGGCAGAGGACATCGGCAATTGTCATAAGTCAAAAGTTTATGGCCAATTGCTGGAGGCCTCTTGTGCACCCTGAAAAACATGGTGGGGTGCTTCCTTCAGAGTCACTTTGGACTTGAGCCAAGCCTCCGTAAGCGAAATTTGTTAAGCTGAGGCTTCCCAAAGAGCTGCAATGAATGGCTCCAAGAGGACTCTTCCAATACGCTTGAGGAGCAAGTTTGAGACGACGAAGTAGCGATCTAGTCCGAGGCTCGACGGGGATACATGCAGTCACGATCATCGTGAGAAACCCCATCGGTCAACAAAAAGGAGCCCCCCAACAAAGACCACAAAAAGCGATGATCTGCAAACGACCACGAATGAGTCTGGGCCTCTCGCTCTGCTGCCTCCACCAACTTGGCTCGGCCTTGCTTTGGGATGCTTCGCCCAAGGCTCCCGAATTCCGATTTTCTTCGTCTTATCCAACCCTGCACCGTTAGCTCATGTAGGGCTTGTCACTGGAGACTCAACACCACCTGTCCAAGGCCTCAGTGCACGGGGCTGTTCAACTTCGACACAAGTTACGTAGTAAGGCTCGTGAAGGCGACAGATTCGTTGCCCGTGAAACAAACATACACCCTGCTTTCCTTGCTATGTCTCCAAAATTTGCCTTGCCTCGTAACCACAGAAACCACAGCAGCGTACCTGAACCCCATAGCCCAAACCCGCGTCCCTGGGCCCCCTGCGAGTTTCCTCAGCCTCTGCCGTCTTACGCCGCAACTCCTGGAATCGGTCCTGCCAAGGGAAAGCTCCAAATCTAACACAAGAGGTCTGGGAGGCTGAGGCGACTCAGGGCTTCGGGCAACTGAGGTCTTGGAGTTTGCGGGTGAGAGGTTCAGGGGCTCAGGGGCCGAAGATCCCTCTATTGTTTCTGTTGCCCCTGCACCCCAGCCGCTTTGGGCCTTCATCCCGACCCTCACGACTCGAAACCAGAACGGCAGAACTGCACTCACCTGCCTGCCACGAGCCAATGCTGCTGGTGGCAGGCTCCTCCAGGCACTTGGGGGGACTTGGGGGGACTGGGAGTCGGCAGAAGGCCTTTCAAGGGCTCAAAGGGCCGGGCTTGGAAAGTGCAGCGTGACCTTTTGTCGAAGCCTTCAAGCTGAGGATTTTTTTCCTACGTGCAGACTGTCAGTCTGAGCACAGAAACCTAGCCTGGGGACTAAATAAAAGAGAGGATGGTCAAAGATCTGAGGGCGGCGGCGGGGTGAGACAAAATTTGAAGCGGTCTAGTTTTAAACAATTTACTGCCTGTGAAGTGAGGAGGAATAAAGGTGCAAATATGGGGAGGGGAAGAACCAGAATGCGTACAGCAAACAGTGTATCTATGTGTTTGTCTTGCAGACCCAGGAGAACATGTTAGGTGCAGACGGGCATCATGCCTCGACGTCGCAGCACTGCGCCATACATTCGGTGACGAAACGTTCGGTGATGAAGATTTGATGTCGTACATTTTTGCAACGGTCGCCTGGTAGTGGTGCATCGCATCCACTGTCAGGCACATTCGGTGATGATCATTCGGTGATGAGCTTTCGATGAGGATTAGATGCACTTTTACAAACCAGTTTTCCTCATCGAGCACTTTACAGCAAGGACCCCCGCTAAAAAAAAAAAAAAAAAAAAACCTTCTACCCGAAACTCGAACCCGACGCCCAAGCTCGAGGATGTCCTCCTCCAAGACCACACCCAGAAGCCTCGGGGCGAGGGCAGGTTCCCGGGAGCGAGCGCTCGGGTTCAGGTTTGCAGTCTTGGTACCCCCGTCGTCAGGAACTCCATGGTTTTGTGCACGCTGATTTTCGGGGATGATCCACTTCGACGCGGCAAAGCCACCGGAACCCAAGCTCCGGACAGGAACCTCCCTTAGCGCCCGGCACTGCGCGCTCTCGCTCCACCTCGAAAGCGCGCTGCCAGAGCCGCTCCTCCTCATTCTGAGATTCTTTGGGGGTTTTTCATTTGGAGTGTAGGTTCGGGATTACCTGGCATGTGAGTTCGTATTTGGGGCGGTAGTGGTGGGGAGCAGGGTTTTGGATTGGTGCGCAATGCCGATCCGAGCGCCTACAGAAAATCACCGGCCGGAATGCCATTAGACACAGAGCGGACCCCAGAACACCCTATCAGCCCCCAGAACCCCGTGCATGTAAACTTACAATCCTTTGTGCCACTCTTCTTTTTGCATCCATGCCAAACTTACAACCTACATCACGCAACCCTGAAGCCCCTTTCTCGAGAGGCTTCAAGACCATCCGTCGGAACCTCCGCCTCCTGCGCAGCACGTGCCACCTCAGGTAACTCAGGATCTGCACCAGGATGCTTCAGGGTTGAAGTGACGAAACCCTACATGCCCCATCATGCCCCCCCTTCGGGATTTCTGCGCTTTGGGTACATGGAGAGCCCAAATGCAAGGCGTGGAAGACCCATCATGAAACCCTGCACCATTTGGGCTTTTCACGAACTACCGGCCACCACTTCGGGCGTGCCTGCTGGGGTGGGGCCATGCCGACAGCTGATCAAGGTACATGCACTTTATGAACTGAGGTCTCAAGAATCTGTGGGCTTCGGGCTGCCGCATGTCCCGTACCCCTTACTGTACACAGGTTGCATGAATTAAATGTGGCCATCTCCCGGTCTGGCCCCTTCGACCCTTAACCCAAATATTTCTTGCTCGGAGTTCAGGGCTGGGGCAGACGTGTGGAGTGAGGGGGAGCGGAGGGGAACTGACGGCTTAGGGTGCGAAGGGTTTTGGTATGTTTTGGTGGAACTTAGGTTGAAGGTCTCAGTCGAGGCGGTGGGGCCATATCTACACCCAACTCCAAACCCCTACCGCAGGTCCAACCGTCATTGGAGATGCCAGTGCAGCCGCCGGGGATCCTGCTGCACCCAGGATTTGCCTTCTTAGGCAACGTGTTAGGAAACGTGTTAGGACCCCAAGGCGCTACACCGTTGGATTCGAGCCACTAAAGGCTTCGATGCTTCGATGACACTCCAGGCTCTTTCCGTCGTATCCCTACTCAGAAAGAGCGATCAAGTCTCGCATTTGCTAACCTGGCCAAGTTAATCAACGCGATCACTGGCGACGACAAAGATACGGGAACAGCATGTGTGACCATTCTATGACGTCCCTCCGTCATGCAATCTCTTTAGGTTTGGTGCTTGCCCACGATCTCCTTTTTCATTCGCAAGCTATCTTTGCACCCCTCAAAGTATAAGGTTTGCCTCAATGCTTCAGGGGCTCGGCCGAACAACCCAACAACAAAGGAGTGAAGACCCCGGTGTTGCTGTACTTCAACGTATTTAAGGGAGCAAGCGCAGTTGAACTCCCGGCGGCGCGCCAAAACATTTCAGCCCTATGTCAGCTGGAGGTTCATGTGTGAAACGTAGGCGGAGGAGGCGAACTGGAACATGTTGTTGCGCACATTCACTTCACCTGCGAGACCTTTGTGCTTCAAGTAAGGCGGCACCAGCAGCCAACCAAAGATTCTGCTTAAGCTACTATTGGAACAAATGCATTGTCGAGCTCCGTCCGGGACAATGGTTGCATAAACATTTTGAGGTGCACAAAGGAGGGCAAGTTTCAGGTTGTAACGGGCCCTGCAAGGCTTCGGATAAAGCCTAGAGATGCTTAGAGTCTAGAGGTTCCGTTTCAATCAGCCCGAAGGGCGCCTCGTCTTGCTCTCCCGCGAACTTTGGCGGCCTTTAAACCACTCAAAGCACCCGAATTCGGCTGCGTTGCAGCTCCTTCGACCGGCGCGCGGCCGCTGCAGTGAACGATCCCGGTCCACCCATGTGTAACGGGCCTTGGTGCTTGTTGCTACTGCAAGGCTGGGCGAACAGCATATCCTGCATCGACTTTGGGTGGGGTCTTTGGCTGCGGGTTTTTCAACCGAACTTAGGGATTGCTGTTCATTTGGTTTTGATTCTATTACAAGAAAGTCAAGCCATGTTGCAGGGCAGCTCTTGGGGGCATCTTGGGCCTATGGCGAGCTTGACGCACTCGCCAAAAAAAAACTGGGATGAGGGCCTGGCCTCTCATGGTTGTTCGAGCTGTGGGGCACAGGGGTTCAGGAACAATAGGGTTGAGGAAACCTGGAATTTTTTAAGGGGCGAGGGTTGGGGTTCTCTCTTCACTCTGCCGCAGCGGCAAATCCAGGATGCACGGCCTCCGCCAGCCATCCTCACACGCATCCTTGAAGGTTTGGACAACCACAGCATAGTTTCATCCACACAGCGCTACTTTTACAGCCCGACGGCTGTTTGCATGGGGCTGAAAGATGTGGTTATTATGTTGAAGGCCGAAAATCTCATGAGCACGGGCCAGAACTGCGTCCAGAACTCACTTCCAAAACTACCAGTACTTGGCTTCCACTAAGCGTTGATCAGTTGAGGGTGCAGTGTTTAGATTCGAGAGGTCACACCGCCCAAAGGCCATGTCTAGCCGTTGAGCACGTCATCTCATTCTATGCTGGCCGAAAGCCGACAGCAACCGTCTAACTAGATGCCCCTTTCCTTCTTGGAACCCTAGCTTTCGAAAAGTTTCGCAACTGCATGACAGGACACTCACGGCTGCGTTGACAGCAGCGTGCTGAAGAGACTGCGCGTCTCTGTCGGTGGCCTCGTGTGCTGTTTTGCAAAAGGAGTGGTGGTCTAAATATAGAGTTGAGGCCTTGCAGGCTACAGGGCTGGGCTTGAGGAAACGCCTGTCGCGGCTGCACCCTGAAGTACGTGACAACTGCAAGGAGCTCCGAGGATGTACATTGATGGTTGCAGGATCACGGGAGTGTTGGGGAGTTGCTCGGCCAGTCCCCTGAACTTTTGGGAATCGTGCACCCCGAACCCAAATTCAACCCTCATCCCCACGAGCCAAAACCCGACTTTGTCGCTTTCCACACTTGGAGCCCAACGCCGGTGTGACGACTGCAGGTCCAACGGTGTTGAGGGGGTTCGTCGCCTAGAAGAGGCTTCTGCGTTGTGGGGTTGTGTGGCTCAGGCTGCAAAAATGGACTGCTTGATGAAGAGCGTGCTTTGCAAGCTCTGCTAGGATCCCATGAGTCGCGCCGATGATAAACATGGATTTGTTGAGCTTCATGTAAGGACTCCCTGATCGCTGCCTTGCCACGTGCATGATTCGCCCTTGGTGTGGTTACGATGTCACGAGACATCCAAAAGGGTGAATCTGGGAATTCGCGAGATGCGGAGCTTGCGATGGCCAATACCAGACTTGCCAGCTGATATCGGACACTGCCCAATCATTGAGAGCAGGGCCCTGCTTTGAGAGCCTGCAGTTTCTAGAAAATTCTGCGAGTCGAACCTCAGCCCTCAACCCCTAAGCCTTGAACTCCACAACGCCTCAAGGCCTTCAGCCCATTCCTCATATTGGCACTCGGCTAAGGCCCCCACCCCAGGAGCACCGGAACCCCAGGCCCTGCACGGAAGGTTCATGGGGAGGCTTTCGGCTCTCACGCTCGCGCACAGGCAGGCATCATTGCGTTTCGGGTTCTGGTTCGATGCTCGGAGCTGCACCCTACTCGAATTGACCAGGCAAGTCTTCAGTGTCTGCTTGGCTCTTGGACGGCGGTGTTTCGGATTCCACGGTGTTCTAGCAGTTGCTCAGCCTGGCGAACTCCTACACCAAGTTGTCATTCCTTCCTGAGCCATGCAGAATAAACAAAAAACCAAAACTCTGCAACAAGCTCGCGGCCCATGGTATCAACCCTCAAGCCGACTCAAGCCAAACCAGCCCTGAACCACCGCAATTGCAGCGGAGGGGTGTCCCGGAGAGATGATCGGCCGGGCGGAGAAGAACCTCGCGCTCACCTGTGGAGGGGCGAAGTTAGCCAAGAGAAACAGCGTCAGTGGCTGTCCAGGGGAGTTGCATGAAGCCGAACGGCTGCCCCACGCAACACAACTCGGTTTGGAGCCAGCCTTTGATGCCCAAGTTGCAACCACCCCATTGCTACAAGGCTGCAAGCAGTACCACAACACAAAACTCAGGAAAACCAGAGTACCCTGGCCGTAAGGGTCAATTCATGTCGGAACGATGCTGCGTTTTTGAGAGCCCCGATGCAACATGCACAAGTGTCTCCTGTACAAGCATCGCTTCACCTGCCCTCATATTAAACCCCAGCAAATAAAGGCCTTTTCGGCATGAGCCTGCATTAGGGGCTATGTTTGGATCTTTTTGCAAAGAAAGTTCATCAGGCAGATCCCCAACGTATGCCCTGCAGTTCGCGGACGACGGCGATGTTAATGGGGTCGGGTGATCTTCTCGGCCCTTGGTGGGTCTCTGCTGTAGTGTACGATCCTTCTTGTTCCATAAGCATCAGACAATTTAGACACACTTCCGAATGTTGCGATTTCGTATGGCCCCGAACCCTTTGTCATCTCGCATCGACAGCCAGGACACAGGGGCTCTTTTCGGGCACAACTTCTTGAAGAACAACACCCCAGACCAGGTCTGCAACTGCTTCAAACCCTAAACCCGAGACCACAAATCACACCCTAAACGCCCCCCTTCTCCTGAACCCTGAACTCCAGCCCAGCTGCCTTCTGGGCCATCATAGACAAGGCCTCAGAGGGGCTCAGAGCCCCAAAGGAGACGACCCTAACAAGGGAGCCTTCTCAGCCCTCAAATACTCGTCATCTAGACTCAGGATAATATCTCCTCAGGCTAAGAATGGCAGGTCATGGAACATCGATGCTAAGAGCCGCCCAGGCTTTCGAGCTTCGGGGGGGGGGGGGGGGGGGCGGCGCGGGGAACAGCCGCAGGACCACGGAAGCCAGGAAGAAGCAATGGGCTTTCTATGGGGGGGGGCCACCACCTCAACAAACGAGGGAGACCCGTCCAGCTTATCGGGACAGCGGAGCGGAGGCCCCAAACACTCGACGGGAAGGCTTGGCAGCTCTGCTGCCTTCTTGAGACTCCAAAGGCCAAAGGCCCCCACAGGGGCAAGTACACTTGGGCTCACTTCCAGGTTGGGATGTTGGCGGGGAATCTGCTGTGACAAGTCTTCGCGAACCCAAACAAACGGAAACACCCTCCCCCCCCCCCCCCCCCCTCAGAGGATTCCCATCTATGCATTGCACCAAGGCCCCAATATTGCCTCGGCTTACCATGCAAAGCGTGGGTTTGGGCGTTTGGGTGTTTGGGCGTTGGATGCCCAAGGGGCGAATCTTCTCGTCCCCGGGGTTGGGTGTCGGAAGTGGTGCCTGCCGAGGCATCAGCGGAGAAGCTCACCGGAAATGATAGCGCTTCGGGCCCAAGAGTACTTAGAGTACTTAGGGCTTCAGAAGCCTGGGCTTCTCGATTTCTAGGTCGAGGGTGGAAGGTGTAGAACAGCTTGCTTCGCTGGAGGTGTTGGCAGAACCCGAAGACTGAACCTCGTCACGACATTTGAAAAACCGATCGCCGTTGTTGTGCTTCGGTCAAGAATAGAAGTATGCACTGACAGAAAGAGCATGCAATGACTTGCAAATCATCAAACTCAACTTGCATGAAGACTCCTCAACTACTGGCACCCTTGAAAGTCAAACACCAAGTCGGGATCATGCTTCTCCCCGCCCCGAAAAGTGCAAAGCCTCCTGATCAAAGCCTCTTCGTTTAGCGTCTGGGCTTTGGCTGAAATTTTAGAAATGTTCAGTATAACTGACAGAACCGATGTGGCAGAACGAAAGGAACGCATGGCAGCGCCAAACCCAAACACCCTCCGAAGCACGGCGCCTGCTACGTGCGCCAAAACTTAGTGACCTAGTGGGCATAAGCGGTGACGGACAAACCTGTGGACAAAATGTAGAACATCCGTCAGGCAAAGAGCCCGCGGTCCACAAAACCCCTAGCAAAACTGATGCAATGTATTTCGTTCACGGATTCCTAACTACTACAGTTCAGAATGAAGAGCATGCTGGATCAGAATAAATTCCTGGAGTTTCTGCGTCCTTCAGATGGGTAGAAGAAATTCGGGGTCTCTGGCCTCTTCATATCGGTAGATTCACTCTCGGAGCATGGGGCTTGAGCGTTATCGGGGTGACTGCTGGCAGTCTCCGTCTCTACAAGAGCAGAGTCCGGATTAGCAGGTGGACCAGCAGCACACATGGACAAAGATGAACGAGTGAAGGAAGTAGTTGTTTCGATGTTCAGGGAAGGACATCCCCAAAAAGAATCTGCCTTGTACGTGCAGCAGGTGATGAGTCCTGCGCTGCCATGCACGAGCTGCCAAAGGGGGCCACTGAGCTTGCGGGGGAACCCTGTTGCCAGTTACCAGGTGCCTAAACTTTGGGGAGGTTTGAGTGCTCTGACGCCTTCAAACTCCAATGAGCCTCATAAAAACGGCTTCCGGAATTTAGGAAGAAGCCTGACCTTGAAGATTCACATTATTGACACCTTGCCGCCGCTTTGGCACGCGGACCTCTAGCACTACCAGGCCCGCTTCGAAGACCTGTGTGGGTTTTCAGGTGCTGTCGGTAAGCCTGTGGAGCCAATAAATGAGCAGTTTTTCAACTTCTGTGTTGTCGGAGTTCCAGTCGTAGTACGGCAACAACGAGAACTGACTAACATAGAGCGTCTGGGGCTTGTGAGCATCATAATGTCATTAGCTGCATGGTTTCAAAAGTCATCTGGAGCCCATGGCCCAAGCCCTTCAATCCCTACATCGTTTTCCTCTCAAACGCCTTTTGCTTTCTGCCTTAAACGCATAAACCCACTGAACCCCAAGACCCTAAACCCCGCAAAACTCGAAAGCCCAAAACCTCTTCCGCCAACCCGCCAAAACCTCTTCCGCCAACCCGGCCTGCGGTCACTACAAAGCCCAGGGCGACAGCGCCGACGCCTTGGGTTGGATGCAAGGAAGTGCTTGGGATTAGGGTTGGGGGGTAACACTTCGAGACGGCAAAGCGAACCGTAGTCTGACAAAGCAAGCCTGGAAGGCTTGACCATCAAGCGCCAAACAAGACATTGAACCAGAAATCCCCCCTCTGTTCCGATTAGGGGGGCTGGCATGGGTTCTCAAACTGAGCATAAACTAGAGAGTGCATCACTGGAGTGGATTTCGTGAGGCCAAAGAAGCCAAAAGGATGTCGGAGCACGAGGCTCTGGTTGGGCAGCTGTTCCCTGCAGCGCCTACCCGTTCGGGAGATTTTTCCGCTCCAACCCTTTTTAGCAAGGGAGCTAGGAGCTGTTGGGGTGGTCCATTTCAGGTGCTTTAGGAAGTCCGCACTGGCCGGACGGGTAGCAGGGTCTTGGATGGTCTGCTCCTTGCCGCCAGGGTGCTGAACACCGCGTGCCATGCCCAAACGCCATCACGCACTGAGAAAAGGTCAGTGTAGGTCTCCTCAGCTCATCAGACCGGTCTGCTCCCAGATTCCCAAGACATCCCACTTTGTCTCGACAGGTACATAGATCCGAGGCAGGCGAAAGTGCACCATCTCTGATCTGTAGCAGCAAAACGTGGCATGCCACGTGCCCCATGACAGGCTTCTTGGAGCTTGAACCCCTTCATTTCAGCATGATGGCTGAAGTTGGGAGCACTGTAGCTCACGTACTCATGTTGCAAAATCCTTCTCCGCCAACTGCAAGGGTATGAAGCGTTCCTGCCTCTAGACTTTGTTTGTGTCCAAGGTCATGCCGTGCCTTTGATTCGTGATCGACGGGCAGCCCTGTACGGCAAGCTCATGGAACGTTTTTAACTCGCTACTTACAAACGGCAAAAAGCACAACGGCCCCCTCAACACATCATCCCACTGGGGTCCAAGGCGTCGCCCATCATTTGTCGCACAACCTCTCCTGCACGCCTCGAGTCAAGGATCTTGGGGCTCTTAAGGAAGAGAGCTACTGGGCGTGGGCTGTGGGCCTGGGCTTGCACAGCTTGCACGAAAAGCCCTATGCGCGCACCGAGTAAGTGTGGGAGGGGGGGGGGTGCTTTTCAGGTGTTCCCATCTCTTGACAAGGTTTTGAGATGCTTTGAGCATTCGTGCCCATCCTCTTCTTACTTCAATATGCGAAGTGTTGGCAAAGTTTGACCTTCAACCCTTCTCGCGCACGTGCAGATATACTGCTTTCTCGATCAAATCACTAGCTTTTAGTGAGACATACATGATGATAGACATGTATACTCTATATAAATATATACTACATACCAAGCCCGCGCTTCCATCCATGCATCAACCTCCTGAAGAATGATACCTTTTGCTGCCTCAAGAAGGTATGTGCACGTCCCCACCCCATCGATGCCGGGGGCCGCGGCGTCTGCGGATATGGCACCGGGTCGTAGTAGAGCGGCCCGGGCTTCAGCTGGTCCGGCAGTTCGGAGAACTGCCAGCAAGAGACTGGGTTGTCAGGGAACACAGAAGACGTTCCAAACTAAAGTCTCCTCTTAGAGCAACAGACTCTTCTGGACGCCCGAACCACAAGAACGATCAAAACTTCAACATAGTCCAAGAGTTTGAAGCACATCAATCGCCAAGCCTATCCCTAAACTCCAATACTTGTACTGGGAGGTCTTCACCAGCTTCGATTACCCCGTGATTCTGGGCGACTTCCTCCAGGCTTTGCAAGTCGCAGAAACACTTGCGTGCAGTCTTGGGAGGAGGGCGCATGTCTGAAGTTGTAAATGGGCGGCCTTAAGCCCCAAAACCCGAAGCCCTTACCAATCCGAAAACTTCAAACATCCAGAAAGGGCCCCGAAGCTCCTTCACCGCCTCAACCGCCAGAACCCCACAGGCATCCGACCTTCGGCGCCGCGTTCTCCACCCTTTCGGCCTCAGCTCGACATTCGTGCCGTTCCTTCTTGGGGTTAGAGGCCCTCTTTCGAGGATGGCTTGGGGCCCAGGATTTAGGATTTCGGGTGTTTGTGGGCTCGGGGCTTTGCCTCTCACACCTCCGCCTTGCAGTCGACGCTTCCGGAGTTGGCAAGAGCAGGCTAGAGAATGCGATGAACGCGGACGGACAGATCCCATGCAAAGGCAACAGAATCGACAACAGCATGCCCTCATCGCACCAAGTCCTCCTCACTCTTGTATGGTTTAAGGCCTTGCCTCACACCCTCGATCAGGGTGTAAGGGCAAGAAGGCACACGGCAACCTTGAGGCTTCTAACACGGTGATCGGAGCAGAACTGGGGGCTGAGGGTTCTGGGTTTTGGGAACGCTTGGGAAGACTCGGATGCGCCACCTCGGCGCAGTCCCCCGTCAGCTTCCCCTCGCAATCCTGGGTCACATCAAGCTCCACTACCCAACCATCCCCCATACGGCTCTCGCTATTGGGGGCTCCTGCGCCCTGTGTCATCTCCCAGTAAAACAGGAGCTTGGTCAAACCATATAAGCCTGAACCTAGCAGATCATAGAAACACCCATGCAAGCCCGTGCAACCGGCAAGTCCTTGAAGCACGCGCGCTTTACCAGCACCTGGCGGCGGTGGTGCCCCACGAAACCAAGAAAGGCTTCGGCTTTGGGCTTGTGATGGTGCAAGGTTTCGAGAGATCCGCCAAGGCCTCGGGCCGCAGGAGGTTGGGGAACATAAAGCAGGTACCCCCGACCGACATACGGCAGGGCGCTTTCCTGCCATTGTTCTGGTGGGCCCCCTACCACCAACCCTCCCTACCCCGCCCTCTACCGCCCCGTTGCTTCCGTTTTGTTGTACCTTTGGACTATGTTTCCTGTCTCTTCCCTATTTCCCCTCCCCCCCCCCCACCCCACCACCCCCCCCATCCTTCCCCCACGTTGTTGCTGCTGCTCCTACCCAGCCCCCCACCTCCTCGCTCATGCTGTTTAGACGCCTTCGACAGCAAACGGACCCCTCCTTCAATGCTTTGCACACCTTCTAGCAGCCAGCGGTTGAGAAGCATGACTCCTCTTGGCTCCGCCATCCCTAACCCCAACAAACAGAAGCCAATGGTGCAGAGAGGAGGCCTGGAGCATGCCATGGGTCTCCGGTTCTGCGAGGGGCACAAAGGGAGCGGCATTCCTGTCCCAGGATTTCTGTGGGGTCTGATGGTCTGGGCAACGCCCAACCTCATAAAGAACCCTCAAGAACGCAAAGCATTTTGAGTGGCAGCGCGTGTGCGAAGCGCCGCCTGGCTGGGAGAGAGCAAAACCTGTATCAATCTTCAAGCTACCTCAGGCCCCAAAGAGAACTGATATGAAGAGGCTGCGAGCGTTAAGCAACAGACGGTGTGTGTATCTCCAGCCCATGGAAGCAAAGTATGACGAATACCTTCGAACCTGGGCTCCTAGTTTCAGAAACGCAGCAGTTTCAGAAGCTTTGAGTCATTGAGAGTTAAAGAATGAGAAAACCCCCGTGGCCCGGCCTTGTTGCCAAGAGGCCAATGAGGTCCCAGCTGGCCTTGCCGATGGGGATGGCTTTGCTCAAGGCGTACCACGCGAAGCCTGGGTCCATGGCGGCGGCGGAACATAGAAAGGGCGTAAAGTGGCCTAACAAGGGTGGAGGATGGCTGCATTGAGATCTTTTTTGCGTGGGATTCAGTGGCAAGGTCAGCCCGAAACAGCTTCCGGTGTTGCATCCACTAGTCTGCACAAGTTGTGAGGCACAAAGTCTTGGGGACTCTGAACAGACAAACTTCAAGGCCTCGCAACCAGAAACCATACACCGCAGACTCTTCAACTGGATACAGGAACCCAGCAAGAACCCCGGAAGCTGCAATTGTCATGATGCTCATACGATTAAGAACTATAAGAAGAGAATGAATAAGAACCCTAATCACAATGAACAGAAGAATACCATTCATACTAGCACCGGTCACAGCAGTAGGAACAGCAACATGCCTCATACACATGGTGGTCGTAGTAGTAGGAACATGACGGTGCACCCTACCAGTACGACTCCGTGGCTGAGGGGCCCTGGAAGCACGTGGGCTCCATGGCCACCAGCTCCAGGTTCAGGGAGCCTGCGGTCCTGAGCTCAGGACCGCATGATGGGAGCCTTTCAGGGAAGGAGGGTGGGGGTTTTTTGGGTACTAAGCCTGCAAGGCTCCGCAGAGTTCGGAGCTTGAGTCCCTGTGAGCTACGTCAGCGATAATTCAGTGCCCAAGATTCTGTTTCATAAGGTCCTCGAAGACGTCGAGGTTCACCTGCCGAAGTATGGACCGAATGAGGGCACGGGAGACTAACAGCAATGAAGTTCGAGAAGAGCTGGAGCATGCTGAGACGTCGCACCCCCACATGTGCACGCTTCCCTGAACCCTGAGGACCCCTTTAGACGGCCCTCGCTATCCGGCCGCGCCTCCTTGTCATCAAACCTGGGGCGCACCGAGCTCGGAACAGGGCTGCAGAACCCAACTTACTGCAAGTGATATCTAAATACTTGCAAACGCATGTATGAACGCATGTATGATACGCAATCTGAATTAGTTCTGTCCAATGAAGGTGTGTCTTCCATGCGCAAGCTTCGACAGCATCACAACACCCTAAATCCCCAAGCCGAAACAACGACCCATCTAAACATCACCACCAAGGTCGCGACGCCAATGGCTGGTGAATGCCCTGCTCCGCCTCCTCAGGAGGGTTTTTTGTCAAGGTTTTGGGCACGAGTTGGGGACGCCCAGCTCCTTCCCCGTAACTTACACAGGGAAATCGGGGCAGACGACCTGCAACGCACCAAGCTCGGCTTCTTGACGCTCGCAATCCAGACAACTTCTAACTGCAACATCCTATAACTAGCCTACAGCATCCTAGAACCCGAAGAATGACCCTAAACCCAAGCTTCCTAACTCCAGACGGACGCTACCTTGGAGCATGACAACTCGAGGAGCCCTGGATGAATGGCCTGCACGAGCTTATCCTCGTACTTCAAGGAATAGCACGTCTTTTCTTTGCCTGGACCATGGCGCTGCAGCACTTTAATCGCAGTGTGCAGTGGCTGCAATGGCTGCAAAGGCCCACGTAGTCATGCCTGCCAAAGCCTGCAACCCCAAACCTCCCCAAGAAAATCACAGGTACCTACACTGTTACATGCTACTCCTGTGCTTGCGGCCGATGTTGCATGCTGCTGCACGCCTAAACCACCCACATCCCCCCAAACAAAAAGATACCGAAATCGTCAGCCCTACACATTCCAAAACCCCCTGAAAACCTGTCCAGCCGCCTAGGGAAGGGTCTGACTCCGTCACAGGCCAGCCAGTGTAGAGCATGCAGGACCTGGACTCAGCACGAGCTACAGAGCTACGGAGAGTGCTAGAATTAACCCGAAAACCACCAACACAGCCTGAGACAAAAGTTACAGAGGCTGAGCCGGGCGGGGGGGGAGGGTTTCAGCGATTTGGGGTTCAGGGCGGGAAGTCCTGCAGTGTGTTGTTGCGGAGTTATGGTTTGTACTTTGCTGTGGAGGCAAACCCAACTTGGGGCAACTCCTGCTACTCCCAACGGCTCAAGTGCAACGTGGCGAAACAGTAGGAAGCCGGCTTTGCTTCGACATCCCATGCAAAGCCTGGACGAGGGAAACAGGGGCCATCTTGGGGATGGATTCACGAGAGCAGTCCCGAGCTCTGCACAGAGTACACTGACACCACACATGCTGGGCCCGCCCAGCTGCTTTCCACTTGCGGCACTGGCAGCATATGGCATATGTAGCTCAGAGCTTCAGCTCACGACTTTCCAATCCACGCCTTTCCAATCCTAGTAGCAATCCTGATCCCAGATCATACTCAAAGCCCACACGCCTGTGCAAGATGTGAAGGAAGGATCTTTCCGATTCTGCTCAATGCGCTCGTGACACGCAGATTGGCCTGGAAAGCAGACCAAGATCATGGGTCGAGTCTGACTCGAGTCTAAAGATTCTCGGGCAACATGAGCTCTTCGACATCCTGCGGCCAAGGCAGATGGGCCGTTCAACCAGTGGGAAGACACGTCCACAAATATTGCACCGGAATACTGAGCAAAGCCTCCAGATATGGATGACTATTCACTATTCGGAGGGGGCGCGCGCTCGGAGGCGCACTCTCCCGTGATGCTCAAAGACCGTTAAGCCTCCTTACTGTTTTGGCCTGGGACGCAGCAGTCCTTGAACCCACAGCTTCAAAACTCGGAAAGCATACGGTCATTCACGGCTGATCCCATTTTCCAAACTTAACACATCGCAACCCCGATTGAAGCCCCTAAACCCCGTGACGGCTGCTGCAGGGCCAAAGTGTGGCCGAGCCACACGCGCTGGCCGACGCCGCATCCGTGCCCGCTTCCGGAACAACACCCTGGCCGACGCAAGGGCCTGAGGCAGATAAAGAGTTTGAGAGGGGGGGGGAGGGGGGGGGAGGGTTTTCGGGCTTAGCGAGTTTACGTAGTTGCGAGGTTGCATGGAAACATCATGACGTGACAATATTCCTCGATATAGTGCTTGCGAGGTTCAAAGACTTCCGGGGGCCTCATATTCCCATCAATGTAAAGCGATACAAGAAAATGCCGGCTAGAGTGAAAAGAAAGACAGCCTAGCGGAGGAACAATGACAAGACTCCGAGATCAAGCCCGTCACTGCTGAAGACCCTGTAGGGCTCTCAGACCGATTAGGTCATTTAGCGCAGCTAGGCCGGAGTGTGAGATTCAAAGCTACACAAAAAAAGACCTCCCTTAGGCCCTGGAGCAACCATGGCTCTTGGCCTTGTCCGATGAGCCCCTGCAAAGCTTCCGCAGAGGCCGGCTCGTCACCATTCTGCGCGCAGGGGTCTTGTGGAATCTGTGGAATCTGTGGAATAGCGGTAAAGCAGCTGTTGGGAACGGCTTCGTGAACAACACTCCTGGGCTGAAAAGCGCAATAGGCTCTACTTTTGCCAGGCGGTCAGAGCTTGCCTTAGCGATCATACTGTATAGTATAGAAGCCCTGACACAAGCCTGAGGGTGTAAAACAGACCCTCTTAGCAGCTTGTGTCGATTGTGCGGTTGTTCATGTCCAAACACGACGGGGTGCACTGAAACCCATTCTTGCAGAAAGCGGAAACTGGATCCCAGCCACCACAGGCACATCGTGCATGGTCAAGGTTCGCCTGCTCCGCCAACACGTCTTTGCAGTTTGCAGGGTCTACCTGGCCAGGACACGACACACAGACTGGACTTAGACTCCTTGGCCTTGGTAACTCTTGAATTGAAGCTGCCCGAAGCGACGGACTGTGCGGGTGCTTCCTTCAAAACATAATCATGCCACGCAACTCTTCGAAAGAATGAAGGATGTCTGGTCTCACCAATTTGACATCATTGGCAATCACACAAAGGTGGCCTGACACATCCACCGCAGCAGCTGGTGCCCAGCCATGCCGGGATGTTCCTGACTCCGTTTCGGGATTAGTCTTTTGTTGCCGCTTCGAGTTCTGCCCAAGTCACTCACGAGCCCAGAAGGCGAACTACACCCTAAACTATCCTAAACTGCTAGATTGGGACCCGTTGTTGCCCACCGCCCCCCAACCTTAAAAGGAATTCGAGATCTACCGCACTCGATGCACCTACGCGTACCATCTTCCTTAGCTGTCTTTGGAGATTTTGCCCAGAATCTGCAATCGAGAGAAGGTTGCCAGAGATAGACCCACATCATGCCTGGTTTTTTTGCCTCAGCCTCACACATTCTGGGTGTGGGAGTGGCCTCAGGTCTAGGGGGGATATGCCTTCAAAGTTCCACCTGGATCCTCAAGTTGCAGGGTACTGCTGGTTGAGGAGGTACGTAGCTTTGTTTCGACCGCTCTCATGGATGTGGCCAAAAAGCCGTCACCGTGGTGTCTTTCTCGAGCTTGGCGGCCACCTCAATGGCAGAGGGATGAAGCAGGGCCAAGGCCAATGCTTCAGGATGCAAACTTTCTCCCATTTTCTGATGCTATCCTTGTACATCAACGGGCTCGCACTCGCGCAAGGCTGCAAGGCTTCAACTTGTTCGCTGTAGGCGAAGTCCTGAAAACAATCACAAACCCCTCTCAAATCCTAAAACCCCTTTGAAAGTCCCACAAACTCTTGACCCCTGGAGACAAGGTCCCCCGCCACAGCCGCAGGGCCGGTGCCACAAGCCCCGAAGTGCAACCTGTCTCACCAAGCGTTGGATTTGGGATTTAGGGCCACCAGGGTCACAGCGTTGCAACGGCTGCCACAAAAGACCACACACGCTATCACTACATCCCCGGCACCAAGGGCTGCGCCTCAGCTGCGGCTCCGCGACGGCTGGCAGGGAAGAGTTGTGCCGTGGCTTGGGTCGAGTGTTCCGAGTGTTCCGGGCTCTGGGCAGTAGAAAAACTAGGTGCAAGATGCCCCCCCAGCTGCGGCTTTTTCAGGGAGGATCCGGGCACTAGAAGATCTTGAGATGGAGGGCCCCCCCCGAGCTTTCGGAGACCACAGACCCGACCTGTTGCAACGGAAACTGCCGTCAGCGGCCGCGCACAGCCAGACCCTACCTGCCGGGGGTGCTTAGGTCGAGCTTTTTTCACTGGGATGGGAGTCTACCACATTCGCTGGAGTTCTTTCGCACAAACGTCGGATGGCGTAAGGTCACCATCCATTGTTCTCATCTCCCGGAGGCTTTCGGTACAGACGAGGATTCGCGTGCTGCCGGGTTCTCAGCTCGCTGGGAAATGTGCAAGAACATGTCTCGGCTAGATGCCACTGCGGATCCCAGCTCCCTACTGTTTGCCAGAGACCTCCACTTTGCTCAGTCTTCAGCAGTCTCCCAGTCGCCTGAAGCGTTGGTAGCGGCACCGCCTGGGTTCGGGTCAAAGGAAAAAGCGGTTGTCGGCAAATGCTGCCCATGAAACTATTGACAGGTGGCTGTTTTGCGAGATTCCTTCTTTCGCCAGAGCATACCACTTTGTTCCAGAGCGTTTTTGTAGGAGATCACACGATAGCAACCCTTCTAGTCTATGCCGGTGCTCCTGGTCGCTAAAATCTTGTATCCCAGTACCTCTCCACTGCTGGGGTGGGTGGGAGTCGTGGAGAAGCAGCCCAAGCAACCGTTCGTCTAGAAGTTGACGAAACGGCTGATGCAAGATTCTCGAAAGCACACAGCACGGGGCTGCGCTACCTAAACTTTATGAACTTGTAGAGTCAGCCCTGAATTAAAACACCTAGGATCAAGTAGCCTCAAACCCCCCCCCCCTCCTCCCGCACACGAAGTTCCTCAACCTCAACTCCTCCCCCGAACGAGGCCCAGGGCACCGGGGCCACCGTAGTCACAGCAGGCACCTGCAGGGTTTTAGTTGAGAAATGACAGAGCCCCCACTGCGATGCTTCAAGCTTCTGATGAAACTTTGCCGGTCCCTGGGGTTTTGGGGCTCAGCTGCTTTGCGTTCTTTTGAAAGGTATAAAGCCATAAGGCTGCTAGAAGATTTGATCCGGCCTTTGCGGAAAACACGAACACCGACGCCGACGTGCAAAGAAACCCTGAGCTGTCAGTGAGCTGAGAATGAACACTCCTGTGCAAGTTGAAGCCAAATCCCGAAAGGACTGCTTGAGCTGCTTGGTTCCGTTCCAGGTGCCAAAGAATGACCCAGCCTCGATGGGGGCCACAGCCGCTGCCGTGGTGGTGTCCTGAAAGACCGTCACCTGAAAAACGTGGCCGCATGGCGGCGCAGCAAAATAATAGAGAAAGAAAGACTTGCGACGTCAATCCCATTCAAGGGACTCAAACATCTTCGCTGGACCCTCCCTGGCGCCTCTAGGCCAGGCAGTCCCCCATTCTGCGTTACGGGCTGCGGCTGCACCGCAGGCTGCGCCGCAGGCTGCGCAGCGGGCTGCGCCGCGGGCTGCGCCGCGGGCTGCGCCGCGGGCTGCGCAGCGGGCTGCGCCGGCGAGGGTGCTGAGGTTGCGGCCTGGCAACATCCGCTCGTCACTTCGTTTCAGTGCACACGACTTTCGGGCTTGTAATTAGGAGACTTTGCCGCGCTTGGCGACTTATAGCAGCCCGTGCTCTCATCTCAACACCATGCGAGCCCATCTGACTCCACTGGCAACTCAAACGGGACATCCGCAGCATGTCCATCGAAAACATCGCTTTGAGTGCTCATGTTGGAGAGGTACAGTGCGTTTGTATCCCGAATGGTTGGAGCGTAGCTGAACACTCTCGGTGGCACCTCCATCAGAGGGGGATCGCTTCCGAGCTGGCCTGTCAGCTGCACCCCCTGTTTTGCCCTAAACCCCCCCGGCAGACTAGAACTCTGACCCTTAAGGCCTCTAAGGCTGGGCTGCTCTTAGCTGAGATTAGGATAAAGACTTCGTCGCTCAACGCTCGGCTTCCGGTGGGCCTGTTCCTTGTGCATACCTTTTTGTTATGAAGCCTGGGTGAGTCTAGCTGGTACCTAAAATCATCAGATTCGCCGCTGCGGCGCAAGACGAACAGGAACAGCAAACACTGAGAGAAACAGCACATGAGTAGCACGACATAGTATTGCTGATCGCGGGTAGCTGCCATCAAACCAAGAGGCGCCCCGCAACAGTTTACAATATTCCCAAGACTTGGAGTCCGTGGAGTGAGCGACTGAACTTTCAAGTAGTGATACTAACAGAAAGGTCTATAGCCTTGGCAAAGAGTCCGTAGTGGTGGGTCGTTCAGAACTTGGCTGAGGATAGATGCCTTCCAGATCAGCCATGTCGTCGCTGAGCCGTGGCATCACCTGGTCTTGCGGGCAGTTGTTCGCAAATGAAGCGAACCCACCCTAAACCTCTTTCCTATACCACTACCCTGTGCCCTAAAGCGCTTACACGGGGGAAGCTAGACTGACGTTGTCGCCTGGGCATTGACATGCCGCGAGGCTTGGAACTAGAAAGCTCAGCTTCCCCCAACCCCAGCAACTAAAGTCCAAGAAAAGTTGCCAAGAACGGGGAATGACCACACCCTGTCCTTGCCAGCCCAGTCGCGGGCGCCGTGCTCTTGACAGAGCCTCCGACAGATGGCGCCGCCTAGCGCAACCGGCCAAAGCAAAAAAAACTGAAATCCATTAGTCTCCTGAGCTCCAACATATCATATGAAGAGTTGCTGAATGTAAAATCAACAGAGTACCATGAATTAAGTTCATACCATGTGCGTACTACTCTCTGAATATACTCTAGATATACTTTTGAATAACGTCGTTTTCCAATGATCCCCCAGGCCTTTCGGCCCTGCAAAATCGTCGCTTCAGGCTGCCCCTCAATGCCCCACTGAACCATTTCCCCTGAGTGGCAGAGGACCCAAGATGCATCAAGCCCAGGCAAGAAAGTCTTTTGTGAGATGTGGGCCTCAGCCCTGCAAGTCTCTTACCTTTTCCCAGAATGCTCAAGCCATTGCAGGGAGTTGCTGCACGCCAGCTTAGAGTTCCTCTCTGCAACCCAAGAAGGCTAAGTAGACACCGTTCCCAAGCAAAGCCCAAAGTACAAGGACAACTTGATGACAACACCAGCACTCGGAGACTGCCTCGGGGGCTGGTGCGGGTGAGGCAGGCACTGAAGCCGGCGCTGAGGAAGACTCCGCTCCAAACATGACTGCAGGCCTGAGCTGGAGGTTTGTCCCAGAGGACTTGTTCTGCTTCGTCTCTTTGGTGGGCTTGGGATGCTTTAGGGCTTGAACATGGTGCGTGGGCCCGTCGGATGCGCTCAAGGTTGGCAGGGCCTGTCGCGGGCGCATATGTTTACCGAGCTGGAGAACCTTCTAGCCACTCGAGTCTGGAGCCTTGCATCAGTTGCAGTTCCCGGGCGGCTTCCAACATCGGATGCAAGTTCATGTGCTGTGCTCTGATTGTTCAGGGTGAACCCGTAGCAGTTCGTCCGACACCTCGGCCCTGAAGCCTCGGCGAAGACTTCCGCGTTGACCCCACGCCATCATTCTATCCAGGCTGCTGCGCCGGCATGGGGTCCAGGGCAGCATCCTGCCAGGTCACCATCCCATTTTCCAGGTGGCGGGAAGAGGAGATTTCGGGTTCAGGCTGGACCTGGCTTGAGAGCCAACAGCACATAATTGAATTCAGGGTGCTGAAAAACCCCCACCGACACACACACACACACACACACACACACACACACACACACACACACAATTCGCTTACCCAGATAGACGATCCGAGGAGCTCAGGTCCACCTGATATTGAAACCCCCAAAATATCCTCAAAGAGGGTTAAACCTCTGGTCTCTCTGTTTCAACTCTGACGGGTTGGGGCCTGCAACCGCCGACTTCGGGGCACCGCCCGCCACTCGGCGCCCTTGGCGAAGAGTGGCGCAGGGGGGAGGGGGAGGGAAGAATTCAGCAAGGTGAGCGACACTTGCCAGGAAAAATGGCTGCAGATCTCAGGAGAGGGATGTGGAAGTTAAGGTTCTCTGCCTCTCTGCGTGATGCGTGACGATCCCCTCTTCCCTGCCAACTTTGCCAAAGCGCATCGATGCCACCGAAGCCGAAGCTGGAGGAGGAGAGGCCCGGAGCGTCACAAAGGCCCGTGGTGCTGAGGCGGTCCTTGGATTCGATTCTGCACAATGAGCCCGCTGGCCACTCAGTTTTAGAGCTTGCCCCCTGGATTTCGGTTGTCATGTTGCAGGGTCGGCAATGGCTTCCTCCGAGGACATAAACTTCCACATCTCCACATCTCATCAAAGCAGTCTCCCCAGGTGCCGTTAATCCCCAGCTCCCCAGGTGCCGTCCAGGTTGCCGGGAGTTTTCTCGAGGAGCCGGCGAAGAGCCGTGCCGGGTCCGTGTTCCCCAACGAATCGAAAACCTGAAGGGGTCACTATTGGTGCCTTTTACCGGGGCAGAGAATCTATTGGTGCCGTTTACCGAGGCAGAGAATTCTACTGCGGGGTGCTCCAGTGACTTTATGCTTTCACCTCTTCCTCCAACTCTGATCAGGCTTGGCATTTACGACTGAGACGTCTCGAGGCAGCAGGAAGTGGAACTTAGACGAAGTACACCTGAACGTCCCTAAACACGAAAAGCCCCAAAAGCACGTCCACACGAGTCCTTCATGCTTGCGATCCATAAACCCGTGGGACAGATGAGGCGGATGCAACCCCGCATGAAACCCCTCTGAAGGGGGACATGAATGGTTTGGCCGATCACAGAGAAGCCAGGGCACGTAGCCCGCAGGCTTCGAGGACAGCCTTGGACACATGTCCGCACTCAATGGCAATTACAATGGGTGTTCGAGGAAGTTCGAAACTTTCGGCTTTAATCAGGAATTGTCACCCTCCTTTCCAGACCCTTCTGATGAAGGTTAAACAATTGCCACTCCGACCCGCCGATTTGTCGTGGCGTGTTGTTGTGCCAACGCGGAAACATAGGTATAACATGTGCTTTATGAAATCGGCGGAGCAGGCGATCAGGACACAGTACACTGCCGCACAGCGCAAATAGTGGAAGAAGCAGTCCTGTAGCTATGCAAAGCCATGGGGCTGCGAGCAGGCCGTTGCTGAAGCTGTTCTTGCAGTCAGCCTGCCGGGGGCAACGGATAGTGTGCACCTCCGAACTGTGGATGCGTCAACTTTCGCTACGGTGTCTCTAGGTCTTGCTTTTCTGTAGCGGCATGCAGCTTCCACAGTGGAAGCTGGGAGCCCCAGACCATTGTCAAAAGCAGTCTCTCATTGGGCCGTACTTTCGGGGTACACATTTGCAACTGAGAAAGGACCAATCCCAGCTTGAAAGACCCCATAGTACCTTCTTATGCAAACACTATACGGGAATTTCAAAGAGACCGTGCCCACGGCATAAAATGCAAAAAAAATCGCACCAGAGAAAACACGCGTCACGGATGCAGAGACTGCCCAAGACCGCGCACCTCTCCCAAGTCCCTTTCGCATCAGGCTTTGTGCACCTACTCGACTCGTGTGGTATTCACAGCCCGAAGTGTGATGACGAAGCATGCAACTGTCGAGCTACATATCTCCCAACCCCGAGCCCTAGAGCCCAGCGCCCGGCCATACGATTGCGGCCAGCAGCATCGCGCCATTCGCCTGACAGGCAGAAAGCAAACCCAGGCCTTCTTCGGGCTTAGGTCCATGAGATCAGGCGGCTGAGCCCTTCAAGGGACCTCAAAGAGACGAGAACTGAGGGGGGTTGGAAGCAGCAGGTCCCTGCTCCGGAGAGCTTATCTGGTCAGCTCTTTAAATTTACCCAATGGGGTCGATATTTAGCATACCGCCAAGAGGACCGTTCTTTGCAGAACTGACCATGTGGCTGCACTCGGTTTTACGCAACATGTCGGAACCGAGGCGCAAGTGTCTAAAGGGATGCCTGCCACGAACCTGCGGTTCTGCGTGAGCCACTACGGTGCCCGACAGGTTGGCCGCAGCCTCTTTGAAGCTTTTTCGTAAGCACGGCTGAGATGCCAGCAAGCCTGCCAAAGCCTTAAAAGCACAAACCACTGCATAAACCCGGCTGCTAAAGCCCAAATTCGAAACCGTTGTCACTCAGCAAGGCCCTGGAATCAGAAACCGCTGTCGGTCGAAGGGATGCAAGAACACATCCGAGCGGATGGCTCTGTTTGGTATGGCGACCACACCACGCATAGCAAGGGCAGGTACAACCATACGATCTGGAACGGAAGCGCACTGAAAGATTGGCCCTACTGGCACGGCTTCCCATGGTCTCGTTTACCCAGCGGAGCTGTGTCACTCGCACCGGGAGGATGGAAACCGGATGGCTCGGCACCAGCATCTGCTGAGCATCTGCTTGAGCATCTGCTTGCATCTTCTGCCAAAGGCTGGCACAACTGTTGCACACCTCGGCAGGGTCGCCGCTCAGACTCCCTTCTCAATGATGCTGCCGGGGCCCTGGGCTGGAGTTGCCACATAGTGCCGGGCTTTGCTGAGGGTTTGGGGGCCAGAAGATTTTCGTTCATGGCCTAGCGGCTTAGCACTTTCGAGCTTTGGGAGTTGAGTGGCTTAAGATGGCTTAAGGCTAAGGGAATATGCGATGCAGGTGTTGGGGGCTTAGGGGGGCGCGGCCAATCTTGGCGATGCTATACAGAAAAATCTTGCAGTTGCAAGGCCTGGTGCACACCTCGGTTGCAGAACACCTGTTACCTTCAGTTCGGGGTCGTACCCTGTCAGAGCTATTTGGAACTTAGCAAGCCGTCAACTCCCCTAATCAGCCTGAAATCCCGTGATGTAAGGTCTATTG